GATCTCACTCTGTAGACCAGGCTGGCCTCGAACTCACAGAGATCCGCCTGGCTCTGCCTCCCGAGTGCTGGGATTAAAGGCATGCGCCACCTCTGCCGCCGCCGCCGCCGCCGCCGCCGCCGCCACCACCACCACCACCACCACCACCACCACCGCCCAGCCTCTTTTCACCTCTCTTGATGCCAAGGTCTCCCTTACATCTCAACATCTGTTTACTTTCAGGCAGTGTGGCCCTTTCCTGGTGTCAGAACAACACAGCAACGGTGTAATTGCAAAACACTATTTAGTGGGATTGTCACTACGAACGTTCATGAGTGGTTTTGTCAGGTAATAAATATAGCTTTAGGATTTTAATCCAGGCTTATTGGGGTGCATTTAGTAAATCCTGGCAAGGTTGTTTTTGTTTTTTGTTTTTGTTTTTTGTTTTTTTTTTTTTTTTGACATATGCAAGGTATGGCCTGTACTTTTTTTCTAAGTCTCTCTCCATAGCCTATGTGTCCTACAGACACCCTTCATGTACAGGTCCCTCTTCTTCAATTTTTGAGTCACTTTTTACAAGTACTGGTGAAGCCAAACTGCCATGAAGTACCTCAGGACCTAGGGAATAGCACAAGTCACCAGTGCTTCCACATCCTCTGCAGCTCTGCAGCGTTTCCCCTGCAGTACCTCCCTCCTTCTTGCCTTTATCAAGTCAAGAAGTAAATTTATCAAGTACTGCAGTGGTCTGTGGGAAACTCCAGCTTTCGCTAATCACTCTCTCGGAGTGACTTGGGTGAGCCAAATTGAAACTATGGCAGGAAGGAGAAAAAGCCCAAACATGGAGAAGCCTGGAGGCGTCAGAAACTCCAGGTTGCTTCTCTAGGAATTCAAGTGTCTCTGCTTCGCACCCAGACTGGCAAGTCTTGAAAGTGGGGCCAAGCTTGCACTGCTGTGCTTTCCCCACAAACAGGCACTCGCACACCTATGCGAGCTCTCTCAGTGGTGCAGTGCTCCGCCTATGTGTACACACCACATGCGGGAGAGACGCTACAAGTTCGACTCCCAAGTGGGGGCACCACTCACACCCCCTTATCTCCTCCCGGGGTCACTTCTCACTTCTCCTCTTTGCTGCAAGCATCCTTCTAGAGCAGGTGATGCCCCCTACCCTGCCTTTCAGGGCTCTGCCACAACCCACTCTGTTGTCTAGTGGGACCAAATCCGCTGCCTTCACCCACTTACGTTAAGTCTTCAGGCAACCTTCATTGCCAGCGTGGAGCTTCTCAGCCAGCCGCTAGTTCTTTATGCAGCTTGCCTTTGAAGTGCCTAGGAGGCCGCGCTGTGGACACAACCTTGGCAGCTGCCTCGTGGGGGCACCTTTCCGCTCCGAGCTCCCACATTCAAGCTCCCAACTTGTGGGCGGATGCAAGGACTAGCTACAAGAACTGTCTCCTGAACCAGATCCAGAAAGGGTTGGACTAGTTTCTTACAGGGTTAGGAATTGTGAACACTCACTTTTTCTCAGCATCCTCAGTGCAGACTACCAGGTGCTCTTTCGAGAGGCTAAGGAATTCAAGGGATGATTAGGTAAAAAAAAAAAAAAAAAAAAAAACTCTCAAGAGAGAGGAGTAGAAACGTACCAGGGCAGGGAAAGATGCTCAAGGGCTTTGGGAAGGAAATGTAAAAGGAGCTGATTTCTGGAATTTGAGACTGTAACCTGGGAGCGGGAAGCAGTGGGGGGAAAAGTCAGAGACAGAAAAGGAATTCCGCTGTTTCTGAACCGACTAAAGCACGCTTCTCAACATGGGGCTTGAGACCCTTAGGGTTGAACTGTCCTTTCACAGGGGTCACCCAAGACCATCCCCTGCATACCACATATTTACATCATGATTCAGAACAGTAGCAAAAATACAGTTCTGAAGTAGCAACAAAAAGCAGGTTGAGAACCCCTGAATTCTAAACTATTCTTACTCGATTGTAAAGAAAGCCATTTACTGGCTGAAAGACATTTAAAGAAATGCTCAACATCCTTAATCATCAGAGAAATGCAAATCAAAACGACTCTGAGATACCACCTTACACCTGTCAGAATGGCTACGATCAAAAACACCAATGACAGTCAATGTTGGAGAGGATGTGGAGCAAAGGGAACACTCCTCCACTGTTGGTGGGAATGTAAACTTGTACAACCACTGTGGAAATCAGTATGGCGGTTTCTCAGAAAATTAGGACTCGAACTACCTCAAGACCCAGCCATCCCACTCTTGGGCATATACCCAAGGAATGCTGATTCATACCATAAAGATACATGCTCAGCTATGTTCATAGCAGCACTATTTGTAATAGCCAGAACCTGGAAACAACCTAGATGCCCATCAACGGAAGAATGGATAAAAAAAATGTGGTACAATCAACGGAAGAATGGATGAAAAAAATGTGGTACATATACACAATGGAGTACTACTCAGCAGAGAAAAACAATGAAAGCATGAAATTTGCAGGCAAATGGATGGAACTAGAAAAAATCATCCTGAGTGAGGTAACCCAAACCCAGAAAGACAGTAATGGTATGTACTCACTCATTGGTGGATTCTAGATATAAAATAAAGAACAATCAGACCACAACCCATAGAACCATAGAGGCTATATATATAGCATGGAGGTCCCTAGGACGACTGTGGCTTATAATAAATTTCGGTTTTACTCAATTATTGAAAAAAAATAGCCAAACGAATGGAAACACATGAACTATGAGCCAAAGGCTGAGGGGCCCCCAGCTGGATCAGGCCTTCTGAATAGGTGAGACAGTTGATTGGCTTGATCTGTTTGGGAGGCAACTAGGCAGTGGGACCGAGTCCTGTGTTCATTGCATGAGTTGGCTGTTTGAAACCTGGAGCTTATGCAGGGACGCTTGGCTCAGTCTGGGAGGAGAGGACTGGACCTGCCTGGACTGAATCTACCAGGTTGATTGCAGTCCTCGGGGGAGGCTTTGCCCTGGAGGAGGTGGGAATGGGGGGTGGGCTGGGGGGAAGGGGAGGGGGTGGGGGGAGGATAACAGGGGAACCCGTGGCTGATATGTAGAACTGAATGGTATTGTAAAATAAAATAAAAGGAAGAAAAAAAAAAAAGAAAGCCATTTACTCCCTAAACCATTCTGAGGCCACAAACCAAAACATTAAAGGTTTGATTAGTCACTGGGGGTGAGCTGAAGCAGAAGGATCATGAGTTGTAAGCCAACCTGAGCTACGTGGTGAGTTCAAAGCTCACCTGAGCTACATAACAGGACACTAAGCCCTACCCCCACCAATATTTGCTTTATCTTGTAAAATCTTTCTCTCCTGTGAGATAAAAGTCTCTAGCAAAGATTGAGTGATATACACAATATGCCCATTACATGGATTCGAGGATATTGCTTATCAACCCACTCCCTGGAACATCCAGTAGGCATTTTTCCCAATTGCAGATCTATAAAGATGTGACCCTGACTTGGCATTTGCAATACACAGGTGTGCAATGTTTTTAGTTATGAATTGTCTAGAGGGAGAAGCAAACACAGATAGATGTACTTCTACTTTTTTAAAGTGACCCAGAAATCAAGGTCGAGATTTTTCTTTTTTTTTTCTTTTCATTTTTCTTTATTAAGAAATTTTCTACTCACTCTACATACCACACACAGATTCCCCCCTCCCTCCTCCCACCCTCCAGCCCTCCCTCCCAAGCCATCCCACATCCCCACATCCCCCAAATCAAGGTCTCCCATGGGGAGTCAGCAGAGTCCGGCACACTGAGCCTAAGTAGGTCTCAAGGTCAAGATTTTTCCTGTGCACACATGTATAGGGATTACTATTACTATTGAGTAATCACTGGGATAGGCCTTTCTAAATCCACTTCCTTCACAGGGGCAGGGGAAAATTGCCTGGTTCAAGCTGTTTCATGGCCAGGCTGGGGGCAGAGCCTCCACTCTTCCTCAGGCAAAATAGGCAACACCTTGCCTCTGGAACACTGTTGGATGATCTGACAGCGCAGTTCACTGAGGGTGCAGGACAGAATTTGGTACCCTGTCTTTGTAACTTAGGGGATGTGGAATGTAACTGTGTAAGGAATAATTCTAGAGTCATATTAGATGTATCCTATCTCAATATGTACTGTAATGCTAACCCCTGACCTATGGCTATAATTCCCTTCTGACATGATTTTGTGATAGACTCTCTGTTATTCTTATGCGGTTGTGATGTATTCACTTAATAGATCTTCTGCTATGTCTTTTATTAAAGAGTGACTTCAGGAGTACTTATCCCAGTAATGATGTCAATGAGTGTTTAAGGAAGGTCAATTTTAATATTGGCCAGAGATGCTAATTCAGGAGACAAATATGTGGCATTTCTCAAAAGCCCACATGGAGTTAATTTTATTCTTATGTCAAGCACGTTTTATGATTGTTTGCCTATGAATAATCAGAAGCCCACAGAAAATCTGACTTGTAACCCCAAGACTTTACTGGGGAACCCCTCTACTGACCTTCTTGAGCACTTGGGATCAAGGTCCTGGTCAAAGCTGAGGCTGGTGGCACAGGCCTGTAATCCTAGCTTCTTGGGAGGTTGAGGCAGGAGGATTGCAAATTCAAGACCTGTCTGAGCTAGAGAGAGAGAGAGAGAGAGAGAGAGAGAGAGAGAGAGAGAGAGAGAGAGAGAGAGAGATAGATCAAAAATATCATAGGGGGCCAGGCGGTGGTGGCGCACACCTTTAATCCCAGCACTCGGGAGGCAGAGCCAGGAGGATCTCTGTGAGTTCGAGGCCAGCCTGGGCTACCAAGTGAGCTCCAGGAAAGGCGCAAAGCTACACAGAGAAACCCTGTCTCGAAAAAACAAAAACAAAAACAAAAACAAAAAAAAACCAAAAATATCATAGGAAACTTGATAAGATCCTAAAAGTAAAAAGAGAGCGAAGGACAAAGCCTAGTGCTACAGTTTGCAAGGCTCCAGGTTCAATCAGAGTGCCCCAAAATAGAAGTAAAAAGCAAGCAGATCCTGTCTCCAGGTGAAGTTTTGGGGTGTGATAACTGCATTGTGATTTTGTGAGAAAGCGTTTTTCAGATGTAGAATGGAATATAGTGATGCTTGTAATGTAGCTTCAATTTGGTCAGAAAACACATGGGTTTTGTGCTATATACACAGAGACAGAAAAGGAATAATAATGCAACCATAAAAGTTAAGAGTTGGTGAATCTAAGTGAAATACACACAAATACACACGCACATGCACACGCACACGCACACACACAGTCTTCAACAATTTTTTCACTTCTCTCAACTTCTCAAGTGTTGTCAAAATAAAAATTTGAGGATATCTTAGCTCAGTCTGCTTTTACCAACTGTGTTAGAGAAAGTGATGGACTCTTTGACTCAAAACGAAGACACTAACACAAACCAGACCAAAGAATTGTTATGAGGACTGAATGAGATAATAAGACTGTGCATGATTCCTTAAGAAGGCTCAAAACCTGGTAGCAATTTTACATTACATAAAATATTGTCTTTTATTAGTTTCAGGTTGTTTCACATGCATACATTTTGTCTCCTTAGCTTACATTTTAAGCCTCTGGAGATCTAGAGATCCAGGCACATTTTGTTGCATACACCATAGTTGCTGGTGCAGAGTGACGAGAACACTTTGTCAAGTGATTCTTAAGTACTATTCTGTGGGATCTGTGCTCATAGCATTGAAATGATCATATGTTCCAAGGCCCATCATTATTTATGACAGACTGCTGGAAGGAAAATGTTGGCCTAGCATGGTAGGGAAGAGATTAACAATAAGAAGTAATAATGAATAATTAAAATAATTATAACAGCATACCATGATGAAAGTTATGTGAATGTTCTCTCTGTGTGTGTCTATTTGTGTGTGTGTGTGTGTGTGTGTGTGTGTGTGTGTGTGTGTGTGTGTGTGTGTGTTGGACACTGGAGTGGGAGCTGGAGAATGGCCTGCAGCAAACCCTATTTTTAGCATTACAAGATGGGTCCGGTGGGTGGCCGACATTGCCACCCCCATTGGCTCGGCTTTGCCCTCGCGGTCATGTGACCAGTGACGACCCCCAGGCCCGACTGCGCGATGATGCACCCGAAACAATGGGGGTGGGAGAGTGGTGAAGCTGAGCGGGGGGTGGGAGAGCGGTGGCTGAGCTGTGAGCTGAGCTGAGCTGTGAACTGAGCTGAGCTGAGCTGTGTGAGCTGAGCTGAGCTGAGCTGAGCTGAGGTGAGCTGAGCTGTGAGCTGAGCTGAGCTGAGTTGAGCTGTGAGCTGAGCTGAGCCGTGAGCTGAGCTGAGCCGAGCTGAGCTGAGCCGAGCCCTGAGCTGAGCTGAGCTGAGCCGAGCCCTGAGCTGAGCTGAGCTGAGC